TTATTTGACTGTAAAGTATAAGTGGCTTTCCCGATCCCATACCTCAAGGGGACGAGACGAGATTCCCCCCTGACACGTGTGGAGAACCCAGAGAGAAGAGAATTTCCCCCTGATAGTATCATATACGGCGACCGGCACAGCGACCTCAGTTCCAACATCTGACCTGGATACCTTTGGCCCGGACCTTTGGTATAACCAAAGTTTTGTGACAGTATGACTGACAAGTTTTGTCGTTGTTCTGAGGTAAGTTTGATGGTGTAAGATCGGATTTTCGCATCATTTTTGTGACACGTACATGATATGCCTTGTCTCAACTCCGGCCGAAAGACTTTGCACGCCGTCGCTCTAATCCAGTGGTTGGTGTACACTCGACACAAATCTGTAGCTTTCGAAATTATCTTCATCATCTCCTGTAATTTATTTACCCATAGTGGAGAATTACAATACCATATATCGTCGTCGAATCCTGCGTTGTCCCGTGTTTTTTGAAACAGATGGCAATTCACCGGTTGTTATTGGTGGAGTTGGTGGCATACATTTTTGCCTGTGACTCATAGTTTTTTGCATTTTTATGTCATTAAATCCCTCAGTTATAACTTGTACTTAAATATCATGTTTTCTTTGTTGGAAGTTCACAATCCATCTCAAAGTAACAACACTGAGAACACAGCGTTCTGGCGTTCGTGTTGGCACCTTACGGTGTTGAGGGACGGTGGTTTAGGTTTGTGTCACGGTGGCGAACGACAATCACCCAACGACCGACGCTCACAACTTGGATCCCACCATTAACAAAAAGCAATATTATAGTTATATAACTTTTCAGATGTTTTTAATTCAGTATTTTTTTCAATATTCTTCCAAACTTCAATCACTATATTTCCCTAAAAATCAAATAATACAGATTTTATGTATTTCCGTATTAAACCTGTAGTCAATTCATGTTCCAGGGTCACTTGGTTTAGCCGTGCATTATCAGCCAATATATCATGGATTGCATATGCAAATTTTGTGTTTGGACCAATCAAATCAATGGATTAACACCATCAATATACTGGTATAATATAATGTATAATTCACCTTGCTCCAACATCCGGGCAACGATAATTTAGTAAATCTCGGAATCCTAGAAACTTGGTTGAATTTCTTTTACACTCTTTTGTGATGAATTTGGGAAAGCCATCACGGAACACCATTTGATATGAACTGTCTGCTACCACTAGAGGGCGATCTAACTACAACTTGTACATGCATTCCGCCCACAATTACAGTAACAGACTTCATGTGTGTTGAGCTGGGATCCTCTACTTTAGTGGCAATCATTGGCAATTTGCTCCCAGCTCGGTGCTTTCCACTGGGTCAACACTATGCATGTACACCAAATTTCCAAAATTATTTCAACACTTATTTCATCAAGCATTCAAATGTTCACACATTTTGGGCCTTAAAGTCACGCACACATGCACATACAGACGGAAAGACGGACGCACGCACGCACGCACACACACAAACAGAGGTCAATCCATTTTCTTACTAAGTACTACAACAATTAGAAATTGAGTGCTCGTTCAGAAATTACAGGATTAGACATTTCTTTAGAACCGATATTGAACATTTCACAGAGAGTGGGTAACTTTCATAAACTGACATTCTCTCAAGTTTCCAGGTGAAAATCATTTCTACATGTGAGAAGGGGTGAGACAATGTTTCTGATATATTGTGGTTTAGTTTTTATAAGTCTGATTGAATCAGCAAATTCTGTAAAAGTGAGAGTTGCCATGGTTCCTATGCCTCAACAGCAAGGTGGTAATTTTAAAAATGAACTGTGTAATTTTTGCTTCTAGGAATTCTCACAATTTGACGATCTCATTGCATTTGTGAACACTAAATCTCCTGAAAGTCACAAATTCTGTCATAATTTCACTGCTAGGAAATGTCATGATTTTCACCAATTGATGAAATTCATGAATATTTCATGAAAATTCGTGAAATTAAAACGATTTACACTATTTTTACATTGAGTCAACTGACTTGTAGATGAATGACCAACGGAGGGTAAATAAAACAATGTAACAACGGAGGGTAAATAAAACAATGTAACAACAGAGGGTAAATAAAACAATGTAACAACGGAGGGTAAATAAAACAATGTAACAACGGAGGGTAAATAAAACAATGTAACAACGGAGGGTAAATAAAACAATGTAACAACGGAGGGTAAATAAAACAATGTAACAACAGAGGGTAAATAAAACAATGTAACAACAGAGGCTAATTAAAACAATGTAACAAAGGAGAACAATTGATGATTGGTTATATTGGTAATAATAACAAGACACTATTATACAGATGTAATTATTAATATAAGTAAATATACAACGTTGGAGTCAAATGGAAGACTTTGAGCAAGTATAACCACCTCCTCCTCTTTTAAGAATACTGAAGTCCAAAATGTGACGTTTGGTTGATACCATTTGGAATTATAGGGGTGGCCCCAAATTAGAACAAAGCTCATTTCCTGTTAAATCACAGTGCATTATTATATCTATAGCAAGTATTCTTCATTTTGATCTTGATCTTTTGATCAATTTTTGAAAAAAATGATTTTCACATAAAAAATATGTCTATGCAGTATTGACAAGCGCAATAGTTCCAATTTTTGTTCAGAGTGGCAGGAATTTTGCTATCAAAATGTGATTTTCATGCAGTATTTCATTACATTGGTATCAGTAACTGCTGTTACAAAGGCTCATGGGTAATTTGTTTGAAAGCAAAATGGCTGCCAAAGAATGAAGGGGCAGCCTGAAGTACTGTCATCTGCCGGCCCTAAAAAATTAAAGGGCAGTGGTCGCCGCGCCACACATACAGAGATTTTTGTTGATGAACAGATTGATTTTATCACAAATTACCGGCCTCAACTAATGATCCAATATAGTGGCAAGTAGATGTCAGATGCGGTCTTGGCAAGAGGAATGGCAGAAAGATCCAAATCCTTCAAATGACCTAGACTAACCTTTGTACTTGCTTCTGTGTATGTTTGTACATTGTATTATTTGCAAATGCTATCAACAATTGTTTGTATGGTACATGTGTGGCACGACAACCACTGCCCCTTTAGCATGACACTCGTATGGCATTAAGCACACACATGCCCAATATAAAAGCTAACAGGACTAGATAGAGGAAGTTTTAACTCCTCAGACACCATATTTGTTCCTGCTAAAAATTGGTAATGCATTTTCTGCACATTTTTATGTAAATTTTCTATAAATTTGTTATTAATTTTGGCCCAAATTTACCATTGACCAATATGGTTGAAAATTTAAAAAGGATTATGTCAATATATTTTGTTTAAGTCAACTTTGGTGTTCAAAGGGGTAAAAACAATTAAATTTGGCGGCAAAAGGTGTTAAGGAAAATCTAATTTACAGATTAAATAAAAAATATACATGTCCTGCTGCAAAGCTGTGTCTACCAATGTAGCATTTCAACTAACCATGATGCATTGCGGTTTTCACCAATAAACCTATTTATTTTCTAAAAGCTAATTTCATAATATTGGACCGAACCGAGAGCAACTGGCATTGTGTCGCTGTTCTTTATCAAAATGTATGAAGCATGGGATACAGTAACAAAAAAGCTAGGTTTGTCCCCAAAATGCACCATGGTGAGCAAAAAATCTGATTGCTTACAACACCTTCAAAATCTTCTAGTACAAAAATTCAAAAAATATTTCAAAAAACTTCACCAAACTAGTGATACTGGCATTTTGCACATTGCTATCTTCTCTAATGCGATACATACAGTACAGTAATAAATACTAGCCCTAATCGACCCCCTTTTTGCCACCCTGCTAATATGACCTTTCACCCCATCCCATAATGCAAAATTGCTTGTAATGATATACAGCAAAATATTTGCATTCAGTAAAACACAATGCACAGAAAATATCAGAATGTAGGTAAATATCACTCTTTTGCATATTATGGGATAGGAGATTATCATTGTATATCAACCTCTATAATATATAATATACACCCGATTATCTATATAAATTATTTCTGTCTTTGCTACCTATTTCAATATTTGACATATTTTGAAACAAGTGTCCCTTAATATACACCACCAGCCAATCAGAAATTTAAAAAAATTCTGGAAGCAGAAATATATCTTTATTTTTTTGGTCGTTCAGGTTTTATACATTTGTTGAGCTAAGTTTTTTTATTTTTCGTCGTTGAGCCAAGGTGGATGCAGTGACTGGTTCAAGAGCACGCTGCGGTGGTGATTGGTGAAGTGCTGTGTAGGTTGCCCTCATTGCTTCCTGTAGAAATTAAAACAAATGAGAAAACCTTTAATATAATTTCATGCATATTTGGATATTCATCCATGTTTGTCATTTGTGCTTATTTGGTATTCCCTTATTTCTATTGGTTACCAGAGGTGCTGAACATGTATACACTAAGCGTTATAGGTTCAGATTCAAAACAATGGCAGTTCATGTGGTCTATTGTCTAAGAGGCCCTGAACATGTATACACTAACCGTTAAAAATTCACGGATTCAAAACAATGGCAGTTCATGTGGTCTATTGCCTGCAAGAGGCCCTGAACATGTATACACTAAGCGTTATAGGTTCATGGATTCAAAACAATGGCAGTTCATGTGGTCTATTGTCTGCAAGAGGCCCTGAACATGTATACACTAAGCGTTATAGGTTCACAGATTCAAAACAATGGCAGTTCATGTGGTCTATTGTCTGCAAGAGGCCCTGAACATGTATATACTAAGCGTTATAGGTTCATGGATTCAAAACAATGGCAGTTCATGTGGTCTATTGTCTGCAAGAGGCACTGAACATGTATACACTAAGCGTTATAGGTTCATGGATTCAAAACAATGGCAGTTCATGTGGTCTATTGTCTGCAAGAGGCCCTGAACATGTATACACTAAGCGTTATAGGTTCACAGATTCAAAACAATGGCAGTTCATGTGGTCTATTGTCTACAAGAGGCCCTGAACATGTATACACTAAGCGTTATAGGTTCATGGATTCAAAACAATGGCAGTTCATGTGGTCTATTGTCTACAAGAGGCCCTGAACATGTATACACTAAACGTTATAGGTTCACAGATTCAAAACAATTTTTACTGTAAGATTATTTTATTTTCCAATCCTATAAGTACAAGTATATTTAGAAAATTGAATGGGCCTTTAATCCAGTTCGCATCAAATTCATATTTTGCACTACTGAGCATGTTCCTGCATATATATGCAATGCATTATGGGAGAGAACTTCCAATGTACAAGATGATCTTACTGAATTAATTGTATTTTTTTTAATATTAGGATTCACATTAAAGTGACAATAGCTGTCGATCTTTTTTTCTTTTCTTTTTCTTTTTAACAATACATTTCCTGTGGTTAATAGTACAAATTGCAAAAATGCAAGTTTATGCCATTTTACATGACATTTCAGAATTGTTTCTTGTACGATTGTGACCCAAAACACTATTTTCATTTTCTGTATCAGCATTCCCTTATAATAATGAAAGTATGGAGGGGACGTTATCAAATTTTTAATTTGGCTTGAACATCCTTGACACAAGAACATCCACAGAGTTAAGTATATTTAAAGCAGGAGGAGTTGTCACCTGCGCAAGATAACAACACATGCTAAGGCTCATGGGTAGACGCTCGTTTGTAAACAATGACACGCTATGGCCATCTGACGCATGCGCAGGTGACGACTCCCTCACTTTAAATGCATTGATGGTTAAATAAACAAAACTAACATGCCAGCGTGAGGAATGAACGTAATAAAACACTGTGATATAAAATACTGACACACACAGTGGAAATATACATACAATAATATGATTTACCTTAATTGCTTTTGCATCACTATTAATTGTTAATCTATTCAGGGGCAAATGGTCTTTATTAGCAAACCACGGATGAGTCATTAGTTGCGCTGCTGTAGGCCGCTGATGAGGATCCACGTGCAACATTCTACGCACCAGATCCTACAGAGATGAAGAAACAATGATGAAGTCAATACAGAACACCGATCACAGTGAGACAGATTTAGCTTGAATTGTAAGTTTTCTTTTATTTGCTTAACTGGGATTTTATCATTGGCAAGCAAAAATTATTCAAGCAACAACTTCTCTCATTGGTCAGGAGTGATCATGTGACAGAAGGGAAGAGGCAGCTTGCAATGGATTTTCTCATTGGTCAAAAGTCGTCATATGACAGAAGTAAAGAGGCAGCTTGCAATTTTCTCATTGACAAGCAAAAATTATTCAAGCAACAGCTTCTCTCATTGGTCAGGAGTGATCATGTGACAGAAGGGAAGAGGCAGCTTGCAATGGATTTTCTCATTGGTCAAAAGTCGTCATGTGACAGAAGTGAAGAGACTGCTTGCAATGGTACACAGTGCAGTGACATGTCATAATGTAACAATACTACAGACTCACCTTGGCCATCGGTGATATGGTATCCCAATTACCGCCAGTCAATGTGAATCTACCTTCTCCGATTCTGCCAAGGATATCTTTAGGAGTGTCTTCCGTTCCATGTGCAAAGGGAGTATACCTATCAAAAGACAAAACGCATATTTGGTGAGACAACATGTCACAAGTATTCATCATGCGCTAACACATTTTCTAAGTGAGACCTTTTCATAGATAATTTTTTTTTGTGAATACCTGATTTTTTTTTATTTCAAGTCAGTGTGTTAACTGTGTTAACAATTGTCACAGAAGTCATATCCATATTTTTAACCGATCACTGGTATCATAGTGGTCGTTGCATCAAAGTTAGGATTGGTAGACTTAAAGTTCAAATCTTTCCAAGGTTGAGAACGAGAAAAGCCCCCCCCCCCCCCCAATTCCCTGGGTGGGTTGACAAATCATTTACAGTTTACAGAATTTTAGATACTTGTCAGATACGAAATGTTACAAAGTGCGGCCAATTCAAGGGTTGATGAGTGAAGGGCAATGACTCACCCTGCTAACATTGTATAAAGTAATACTCCCAAACTCCAGATGTCACATGCTGCATTGTAACCTTGCTTCTTCAGTACCTGAAAAATTTAAATTAAATAAATTCTTGAACACCAAAAATTGCATCTATTGTATGCTGGATTATAAAAGTACTTTATAGATATCATTTTGAACACCATCATTCACGTGACCACAGGAGCTACCAAAAGAGTGAATACTGTACCTACAAACAATCAACTGAACTGAAATAGTTTATGTTTTGCAACTCACCTCTGGAGCAACGAAATTAGCAGTATAACACGGTGTCATAAGCAAACCGTTATCTGCTCGTAGCTGCTTAGCGAATCCAAAGTCAGCTATCCTAAGCGATTCAGGTTTGCCAGATTGATCAGCATACAGAATATTGCTTGGTTTCAAATCTCTATGTACAACCTAGATTGGAAATAAAACACTCTTAAATTAACTCCTTGAATGCCATGATTTTCCCACCAGAATCTAGGTTAAGAATTTTCAGATTCTGATTTTTCTACAATTTCTTTACTTTTCTATCCCAAACTGAAATAATTTCCCCATTGTCTACATGTGTTACATGGAACTAGTGACAAGATGATTGGAAGGGCCCCGCTGCCCTATGAGAATCAGAGCAATAGGCTCAAAACAACAATATTTGCTAAAAATGAAGAATCAAATATACAACAGGAACAAATTTGAATCAAAGCAATCAGACTGTTAGTTTTAAAGAAGTCGAAAATATGATTAATTTTTTACCAAACATGAACTGACAAAATAAAATAAGTTCCTTTTTAGTGTGGGTGGCAGGATTCAAACTAATGCAAATAATAATGAAACCTTCATTTAGGCAGTATATCCTTACATAAACACTTTGTAGACATATAACCAAAATTGGGGTTAGGATGGATAATAAAAATAAAATGATACACACCCCTGATTGGTGAAGGTAATCGACTGTTTTTGTTATCGTTTGCATAACTGCACATGCTTCCCTTTCGGATAAAGATTTCTCTCGAAGTATTTTATCCAGTAGTTCGCCGCCTTTCATGAGATCTGTAACAAGATACACATTGCTTCCATCATCGTATACCTGAGAAGAAAGAAATAATTAATGACTTCACATGAATAGGTAATTGTATGGAATAAACCTTGATGCCAAGATGATCACAACTTCATTAGTTTACGTACACATGTGGTGAGAATGACAAAAAAAAGTATAAAAAAACATTTTCATAAACAATTTTTATTATATAAATACACTTTGAAAAGAAACATGATTCATAAACATAAATCTATTTGAATACATTCTCACTACAAATTACACAATTCTTATTTTTCAATGGCGTTTCTTCACAGTGCAAACTCTTGGAATCATGCACACGTGTGAGTACTTCGGTGACACATTTTATAGCTACGTCCAAAATAGTCCATTATTTATTGCGCAACTGTGACCACACGACATCATTCTGTTAACATCCACACATTTTCATAAAATCTCCATGCACTTTTTGACCAATCATGAGCAAAATACACTACAATTCACTCCAGAAAAACAATTTTCTTGGTACATTCCTGCATATTAAATGAGGGGTTCAGACACATTCCAAGCGGAACACTTTTCTTGGCCTAATAACAAAGCTGGTCAATCATTTCCCAGCAACAATGACACAAGGTTAAACTGATTAATATTGAAACATGTGCAGTTTTTTTTTTATGAGAAATAGAAATCAATCTGAACAATCTGAGTGTGTGTTTGACACGCTTACTACACAACAGCGATACAATCACAAGCATGAACAATAATGCATCGCAAAAACCTCAATGATTTAAACTTACATCTCGTAGTGATATGACGTTAGGATGATTCTGATATCGTAATAATATTTCGACTTCCTCCTGGACATCTCGTTTATTTTTATCTATCACTTTAACGGCAAATTCCTGACCAGTCGCTTTGTGTATACACCGTTTGCATACTGAGTACGAACCCTGACCGATCTCCTAGAGAAAGAAGATAAAGAAAAACATTGTGGTTATGCTTCAGAAGTCACAGAAAGCAACACTGTGGTCATCGTACACTACTCACAATTTACATTGACATTAAAGTAACTGTCTTTATATTTCTCAAAGGTCTGACTTTCAATTCCTGGGAGTGCACATGGTAAGAATTAGAACATCACATCGAATCATCAACAATCTTTTTTACAATGAGATTTAACATTGAAAAAAAATGATAAATTGAAATTTTGACTGAAAGCCAACAAAAAAATCTATAAAACAAAGTTCAGTTTCATTATTTAAAAGCACTCCTGAGGACTGTAACTTTGTTTGAAAGACCCAATTGCAGTTAGTATTTTTCAACTGTCGAAAATATGTCTTTTGCAAAATTTACAAATTAGCGACTGCAATGACACAGTGTTATAGGGTTATATTACAAGATCTGACTAACAATAGTACTGACATAATAAAACATAGGGTACATTGCATGAAACAGATCAAATAAGGATGCGTACAGGGAGAAACAACATTTTCAACCCAACCGTCATGACTTTTTTGTGATTTGACGGGAATCCCAAGAAAGATTATTGCCTGAACAAAATAAATTATTTCAACACCCCAACAACTTCTGTCGCTATTTTTAATAGTTCATTAGTTCGTCCACATTTCGTTTTGCACTAGCCCCACTTACAACAAATTTATCTCACTCATTTGTTCAAGAAATAATGTCAAATAAACCAGTTAGCAAGTTATGTTTATTTTGCCATGAAAAGCAGAACTTGAATGATTTTTATTGTTACCATTGTTAAGTTAAACTGTTTTTGCTCTTTGGCCCAATGGCCTTTTGCTTTGCAATAAATAAACAATAGAACATGGAATGACATCATGAATAATTAATGACATGACATTCTGTTTAGTGATGTCATTTTAAATAAATGATATTTACCTCCTTTATGTCATACTCATCAATAACTGATGTGGCTCTTTTTCCGGGAACAAACTTTGCCTGTCAAAAGGAGGTAAAAGAAAGTCATTGAGAAAAGTCAGCATATTGGATTTTTAAAAATATATTAATTGGTGTTAGAAAAAAAAAAAACTTGAAAAATTCACATAATTTTGATTTCAAAACAAAGTGAAAGAGTCACTGAAGGTATTTAGGTAAAGTTGAACACAAATTGATAAAATTTACTAGGATAAGAGGCTTCATTACTTTTGGAGCTTTCGGAGGACTTGTGTCCATTTTCTTCAGCCTTTCTTTTTCTTCTTGGAGCAAAGTTGTGTCTACAAAACTAAAACCTTTAAAGAGTTGATGAGCACCTGCACTAGCCGGAATACCAGGAGAATCTGTGAACAGGAAAACATATGTTAATTTCCCGCCTAAATTTTGATGCAAAATTTGCACATTTTTATTTTTTTTTTCTATTCTT